ATTCTGGGAGCAGACCCAGAGCACACTGGCTTTGCTGAGAGGGCAGAGCCCAGCCCAGGGAAGGACTGGGGTATTCTGGGAGCAGACCCAGAGCAGGCTGGCTGTGCTGAGAGGGGAGAGCCCAGCCCAGGGAAGAATGGGGTGCTTTGGGAACAGACCCAGGGAAGGATGGGGTGTTTTGGGAACACACCCAGATCACACTGGCTGTGCTGAGCGGGCAGAGCGCAGCCCATGGAAGATCTGGGGTGTTTTGGGAGCAGACCTAGGGAAGGTCTGGGGTATGCTGGGAACAGACCCAGAGTACACTGGCTGTGCTGAGAGGGCAGAGCCCAGCCCAGGGAAGGATGGGGTGTTTTGGGAGCAGAGCCAGGGAAGGACTGGGATGTTTTGGGAACAGACCCAGAGCACACTGGCTGTGCTGAGAGGGCAGAGCCCAGCCCAGGGAAGGATGGGGTGTTTTGGGAGCAGAGCCAGGGCAGGATGGGGTGTTTTGGGAGCAGAGCCAGGGAAGGATGGGGTGTTTTGGGAGCAGAGCCAGGGCAGCATGGGGTGTTTTGGGAACAGACCCAGATCACACTGGCTTTGCTGAGAGGGCAGAGCCCAGCCCAGGGAAGGTCTGGGGTGTTTTGGGAGCAGACCCAGAGCAGGATGGGGTGTTTTGGGAACAGACCCAGGGAAGGATGGGGTGTTTTGGGAACAGACCCAGAGCAGGCTGGGTGTTTTGGGAACACACCCAGAGCACACTGGCTGTGCTGAGAGGGCAGAGCCCAGCCCAGGGAAGGTCTGGGGTGTTTTGGGAACACACCCAGATCACACTGGCTGTGCTGAGAGGGGAGAGCCCAGCCCAGGGAAGGATGGGGTGTTTTGGGAGCAGAGCCAGGGAAGGTCTGGGGTGTTTTGGGAACAGACCCAGATCACACTGGCTGTGCTGAGAGGGCAGAGCCCAGCCCAGGAAAGGTCTGGGATGTTTTGGGAACACACCCAGATCACACTGGCTGTGCTGAGAGGGGAGAGCCCAGCCCAGGGCTGGCCCTGGGGAGGTGGAGGCCCTTCCCTCCTCTCTGCAGACCCTCTGTGAGGACTGAAGGAGCCGTGCCCTGCCCTGCAGGTAAGGGGCTGTGGTGGGGTGTGGGGGTGGAAGAGGGGAATGCTGAGCTCCTGGTGCATGTGCTGCTTCTGTGTGCTGCTCCTCACAGCGTTCTGCTGTGCCCCAGGGCCCCGAGGTGCTGGGGGGCTGTGGGCAGTGCTGTGGTGATTTAGGGCTGGAGATGGAAGGTTCTGGATGCTGTGGTGTGGAACCAGGTGCCGTTCCCTGCCCTGCTGTGTTGTCCTGCCCCTACAGCCCCTGTTTGCCTTCCAGGCCAAGAAATACGCGATGGAGCAGAGCATCAAGAGCGTGCTGGTGAAGCAAACCATCGCCCACCAGCAGCAGCAGCTCACCAACCTCCAGGTGAGGATCCCCCYGAGCTGCTCCCTCTGCTCGTGCTCCCCCCGACACGGTGGAGTTCTCAGGGCCCTTGGAACCAGAGCACAGCCCTGAGCCTGCAGCTGACCCAGGCACCCCGACCCAGCTCACAAATTGCCCGCAAATCTCTGTCATTCCAAGAGGAAACGGTTGAGAATTCCTGTCCTTCTTGAGATCCAAGAAGCCAAAGACTTTGCCGTGGGTTTTGCTTTTCCGAGCTGTTGAAGGTGGTGAAGGCAGAAGGGAACCTGGAAATGGTGTCCTGTCACCATCTCCTCTGCCTAAGGGAGGGTCCCCGTTCCCCTGTGTCGCATTCTGCCCCATTTCCTTCCCCTGCACCCGGGTGCTCTCAATTTTGGACAAGTTCTGTTGGCTCTTCCTGCTTGTGCCAGGAGAACCCTTAACCCCCCCTTCAGAGGTTTCTGGAACATGTCTCCAAGTCAGGAAGCCCAAACCAAGGGCTTTGCCTGAGGAATCCCTATGGATGTGCTCTCCTGCCGTTTGGGGCTGTGCCTGGTTCTGAGGGTCTGCTCTAGTTGAGGGGCTCCTTTTAAAATGCTGGGGGTGAATCAACGACAGTGGTTGCAGAGGTTCCTATTGCCTTGAGTCCCCCCTGGGATCCCAGGCTGCTTCCCAAGGCAGTGGCAGYGGCAGTGGCAGCAGCACAGCCCACCCTGGCCTGGTGGGACCGGACTCGGCGGGGTCCCGGCGCCGGACAGTCCTGGGGAGAGGCAGTGAGGGCCGAGGAAAGGACAGGTCCCTGTGCCGCCGCTCTGCTTGAGTTTGTACAAACAGCCATAGTATGCTCAGCTCCAACAGACTGAACTCTGTCTTTACTGTCTTTCAGATGGCAGCAGTGACAATGGGCTTTGGAGATCCTCTCTCACCTTTACAATCGGTCAATAGACATATTCACTTCTTCTGGGGCACTTGTCTTAGTCAGGGCCTAGCGTGGGGACGTTCGTAGTGGTGCCAATGCTCTTGTCGGCGCCCAGCACAGCCCTCCCACATCCCCACGTGTACTGGACACGCCCAGGAGCAGAGCAGAGGTGTCACTGCCCCGAGAAGACCCCAGGCTGTGCAGTCTGCGGGGACACTGCCACTCGGGGGCAAAGACAGCTTTAGATTTCCACCAGTTCTGAACACACCCGTGAAATTGTGGGAGCTGCATTTCTAGGGATGCTACAGTTCTGAGGTCCCGACCTAAAACTAACGGCCAAGGTAACTCACCAAGGGGCGATTTCTTGTGGAACGACCTGCCAGCACCCAGAGGCGGCCGGTGCTGGGGAGGGCCGGGGTGCCGGAGCTTGCCAGAACGTGCTGTAGCCTAGGCTCAGGCTTTACTGTGCTGGTCCAGACCAGGGGAATATGGCACCTTCCAGAACGGCAGGACTGAGCACAGAACCTTTGTTCTCATCAGAGGCCACAAAGAGCTGAATGGCTTGGCATAATCAATCCCCTCCTCTTTCCTAGACATGCTGGACAAAGCATCCTATGACTCCTCTCTGCACCCAAAGGTTCACTGTAAATTCATTTGCACATTTGTAAACAGCTTTTCCATCTTGCTGGAGTGTGAGGTTTGTGCCTGGTGTAAAACACAGCCGCAGGTTTGAACTTGAAGAAAAAGGGTACAGAAGTGAAATCCTCCCTCTCCCTCTGGCAGTGGGTGGTGTGTGAGTGGGGAGCCATCAGAACATCAGAATGGATGTTCTAGGGTAAGTTTGGAATGGAACAGAGCAGCCATTTGGTGTGGGATTTGGCAGAGCTGGTGTTGGAGCCAGGAACTCCCCCCATCCATCCCTGGAGCTGCAGCAATTAGGCCTAGATGGTCTCTTGCTCATTCTGGGCACAGCTGAGGTGGCACAGCACCAGGTTTTAATGGCCCTCAGGGTGCTGGGATCCCTTTTCCTCAGCCATTCCTGTCGTGGCATTCACAGGCAGACATGGAGCAGGAGCCTGGTGTGGTTAGAGCAGTCAGGATATCCCATGAGCTTCATCCCAGATCCCACTGGGAATGCACAAAGTGGCACTTTTCGGGTTCCCCAGTTTCTCTGTGGAGGCAGCACAGCCTGAGCTCCCTGTCAAGGTTCTGAACCCCAAATTACAGTTTCCCATGGGCTCAGAACTCCCTGCACATGTCACCAAATTACAGCTTCCCATGGGCTCATGTCACAGCAGGAGATTCCCACATGGCTTCAGCATCTCCTGGTGGTGTTATATCGTGGCTGATGCTCATGGTAAGGGTTGTGCATCTGCCTTGGGTAAA